GAGTGCAGTTGAAGTGCATATCTCCTGAGCTGCTCTTTCAAGGACTTAACTATGAAAGCAACATCTCTTTCGAAGCCCTTATCATCTTCCCACTCTCCTCACAGCTGCTCAACCACCTCTGTGAGCAGCCACTACGTGGCTGTGCTTGCTGATTTCTGCCTCTGAATTGGCTGAGGTGTCGTCTGCCGATTAGTCCCGCGGTAATTATGGATGGCGTATTTGCAGCATATTTATTCCTTCCCTCAGCTCACTTGGCTTCACACTGACTCTGTTTAGTCAACAATCTGACAGATTTTACCCTGGGTGTTTTCTTCTTTTGGTTGTACCTGCATTTATCTCTCTGTCACAGATCACCTTAAGGACTCAGAGCAAGAGTTTTATATTTCTCTTGACTGAGAGAGATAAGCTTTCCCTCGACATGTCCAAAAGTCCAGATAAGGGCCTTGCCTCAGAGCTGCTCTGGATTCTGAACTCTGCAGGCCTCAGGGGCGGGCTGGTGCTCATCACTTAACCCCCCAGACACTCTTGTTCTCCTCGGCTTCAGAGTTCCCTCCTGCCCCGGCTGGGTTAAGCCTGAACAGTTCCCTAACAGGTAAGGTCTCCTATGGATTCTGGTAATTCCCTCTAGTAACCTTTTAAGGCTGAATTTTCTGGCAAACTTGGGATCTTGAAGGGCAAACAAAGGAAAGAAAACAGGATTAAACTCATAATTGACAAAAATCAGTTTTCCTGTCATTAGGGTACATTTGGATAAAGGGGATTATACTCTTGGTTAGATCCACTAGTAACAAGCTATCAAGCATTTTCTTCTGTTGTTCTTGTTGCTGGTATTTTGCTTTGTTACTGACGCCCCTTGCCAGTCTTATTAAAATATACTCTAGGTAAAAAAAATCTGTTTCATGAGAGTCTATGTACCTGATGCTGGAGGAATGGCGAGGTTCCTTAGCTGTGAGTGCTCCTCATACACTGGGGGCACCTGTGTAGTCTGTGAATGTGGCACCGGCTTGCTCCTAGTGCAGGATCAAGTTCACAGAGCAGGCTCGTGACAGGTACCCTTAGCAAGGCCTGCTTGTGAGGCTGCCCCTTGTCTGGCATCTGGGGACGTGACTGGTAATTCACTCCCTAGACTAATACAAACCTTTCCTAAGTGATAAGGATATCTCACTGTATCTCATCTGTACCAACGTGGTTAATGTTGCTTTCCTCCTAGGGGTTGGGAATTTTGGTACATGCCAGGCAGAGGGTGCCTGCATAACCAGCCCCCAGGAAAACCCTGAGGTGCCTGATCTCTAATGAACTCTCAGGGGAAGCAACATCCTCCCACAGGTGTTGTTGCATCTTTGTTGCTGCGGGGAGAATGCTCTCTGGGCGACCCCTCAGGGGAGGTAGAGAAAGCATAAGGAAGACTGCACCTTTGTTTTTTCCTTATGATCCTGCTGGCTTTCCTTATCACATGGCTGTCGTAAATCTGAGCTGTGAGCACAGCTATATTCTGTGCCCCAGGAGTCTTAGAAGCAAATCTCTCAACGCACGGTGGTCTTGCGGACCCCTGAAACAGCCCTCTCATTAGTCGCTGTGAGATTCCAGAAATATCATTTAATGACATTATCCTCAAAAATGCTGATCTGATCCAAATCCTTCTTGGTTTCTCTTGCATAATTTCAGCTTAGATTGTCCTGAAGAGCTAATTCTTTTACTTAGACCATTCTTTTACTTCCCTAAAGGAGACTGCGCTACTCCATAAAATTTGTTCTTTTGTCACTTAATCTCTAAAATTATTTTAGTCAAAATCTATGTCAAATCTAACATCAAAAGTGCTGACAAGCTCTAACATGACCAGCGTATACGATTTAATGCTACAGTTTAAAAGAATATATTTAGAAGAAATGCTGCCACACTGCTAGAGTTAACCATCTAGATGAGGAGTCCCTCAAAAGTGTGCCCAGATATTTAACAAACTCTGTGTTGGTTAATTTTAGAATTTAACCTTAACCAGATATTTTCAGACGACATGAAGAATTAATGGGATCATGTTTGACGTGATCTTGAATTTCTGAGTTTTGAAAAATATGTTTTTATTTTATTTTTTTGCTCTGAGGCGGTTCGTGCTCCCGCATCATAGTCTGAGCTATGTCACATTATGCTGGTGGGCAGACTGTTCTGCCCAGAGCAGCAGCTGGCGTGGTGGATGCTGAGAGAAGGGACCAGATAGTGATTCTACAAAAAGAATAGAAAGTTCAGGATGGCCATGTTGTTCAGATTAACCTTTTAAAGACTAATCTGTTAGAACGATAAGAACAACAGTGTAACTCTATGAGGATCTCTTGGTGTAGATAACAGGTCTTGCCATGGTGTGAAATATACCTTTAAAACGAGCTCTTTTGCAGAAATGATAGAATCTCACAGATCAATTTCACATTACTGAATCCTCTCATGCTCTAGGCTGCAAAACGTTATTCTGTTTCAAAAGTTCAGATTCTTTACAAAGAGGAAGAGCTGGGTGCTGAGGGGTCAAGGCTACAGCTCCTCCTTGAGGAACTCTGGTCAGAAATGTTGGGTGTAAAGCCTCTGCACACGGTACCCTGTGAGCAAGGGAAACGAGGCGGAGAGGAAAAGAAAAAGGAAGCAAGATGGCGGAGCAGTAGCACCATGAACTCGCCTCTCCTTGCAACTGCAACAAAACCACAACGGACTTCTGAACAGCCATCGAGAAAAAAGACTGGAGTCTAGCAAACAGGATCTGCTTCAACTGGAAACATCGAGACAGAACCACAACAGTAAGGTAAGAGGAGTGTGTTCACGATATACTTGGGCCCCACACTCTCTGGGTGGGCAACCCACAAGCTAAAGAACAATGAAGTCACAGAGGTGCTCCCACGGGTGTGAGAGTTCTGAGCCCCACATCAGGCTCCCCAGACCAGGGTTCTGGCAGTGGGAGGAGGAGACCCCAGGACATCTGGTTTTGAAGGCCAGTGGGGCTTAACTCCAGGAGCCCCACAGGACTGGGAGAGACAGAGACTTAACTCTCTTGCGAGGTGCACATGGGATCTCGAGTACACCAGGTCCAGGGGCAGAGACAGTGATTGCATTGGCGCCTGGGCGAGACCAGCCTGCTGGTTTTGGAAGTTCTCCTGGGGAGTTAGGGGGCTGCTGCAGCTCACCCAGGGGACACAGAAGCTGGAGATGGACATTCTGGGAGTGTTCATCTACTTGAGCTTCCCTGGAGGCTGACATTTGATTGGATTAATAACACCAAGACCCAGCCCCACCCAACAGCCTGTATGCTTAGGGGCTGGGAACCCTCAGGCCTAACAACATACTGGGTGGAAACACAGCCTCACCCATCAGCACACTTCCTGAGCCGAAAAATGCCTCTAGGTAGGGCCCTATCCACCAGAGGTCCAGGACAAGCCTCACCCAGTAGTGGGCAGACACCAACCCCTCCTGCCAGGAAACCTACAAAAGCCTCTAACCAGCCTCATCCACCAGAGGGCAGATACCAGAAATAAGAAAACAATAGTCCCAAGCCTGGGGAAGGGATCCACAAACACAGGTGAGACTCTACACTGGGACCAGCCTGACCCTGCCCCTTGGGTGACAAGAGAGGAGTGTACAGTTGGGACACACAGGACATCTCCCACAGAGGGCCACTTCTCCAAGGCCGAGAATCGTAACTAGCCCATCTAAAAACACAAAGAGAAAGACAGACAAAACAAGTTGGCAGAGGAATGTCCTCCAGGAAAAGATTCTTAACAAAGGGATTAATGCCAGTGCCATTTAACAGGCTCAGGCCCGTGCTTATTGCCAATTAATAATTAAAAATATTTTATTAGATCCAAGTACTAAGGATGGGAAGCTGAGATGAAATACGTCCTCAGGCATAAAAGCCAGCCCTACAGAAACTTCTAACGCTTTCCTACTCTTACTGTGAGGGCCTGCCAGCACTTCCTGTAGGCTTTGGGTTGTTCAAGACCCTGGAAACATACAGTATTTGAGGGCCTCTGAATTCAGATATTTCAACTAAATGCAGGATTATATCTGCCCTGCTAAATAAAGGAAATGTTCAGTCAGTTAGGTAACTTAGGCAGAAAGCATAGTTTTGAGAGGAAAAAGCACTATTTAGATTTTGGGGAGGTGGAGAATGGAGGGGTGAAAATGAGTTAATTTTATCTTCATCAACAATTTGAGCTACTTATTCAGATCAGCAGTTAGATTCTATTTCCCTAATCTCGACAAGTATTACCTGTGCTACTCTACTCTTTACTGATGTCTGTCTGTCTGTGTCTGTCCCTCCGATACTCCCAGAGATTAAAGACCAGCTCAGGTTTCTTTGCTTTTCATGTAATGACCGCACAGTAGTTTCTGATATACTAGAGAAATGATGTCAGCGGTCCCTTAAAGGCGCTATTTCAAAACAAGAGCACTAAAGACTTCTAAAGGCAAATCTATGACTTCAAATGTACTTTGAAGCCTTCCTCAAAAGCATCTAGATACACAACATGAGATTTTTGGAATATCCCTAAATGCCAAGGAAGTGCAACCACTGCATGGACTGAAGTTTGTATTTTAATCTTCACACCTGGAGGGCCTGGTCTTGTTTGTCCCCTGGTCCCAGTTACATGCCCCACTGGATAGTCTGATGTATCAGCCACCTTAGGAAATTACTGATATGTTACTGTGGACTCAAATGAACAGAGGACTATCAGTCAAATGACAAAAGTCAAATGTATACACATGGCTCGATCTCCCAGCACACTCAGAGATGCCCTGAAAGGTCCTACATTTGCAATTTTCAACATTACTGAAATAAGGGAGCAAAAGAAAGCTCACACACATATCTACACTTGTGCTTAAATATACATACGTGTATACAGAAGTCTTTTGACCACTAAATATACATTTCTGTAGAATTAGAGAACTGATATAGTTTTATAACTAAGCATAGGCATTTACAGTGCACAGAAGAAACAGAAAAGGGTGAATCAAAACGTGAAACGTACCATACTCTGGGACCTGCCCCGTCCCGCGCTTCAGCAACAGCCTCACTCTCCTTCCTCCCGATTTGATGAGCTCTATCGCTCTGGCGTGTGTCATGTCTCTTGTGCTCTCCCCATTGATTTCAATGATCTGATCTCCTACCTGTAATTAAAGAAATGTCAAATCAGGCAAAGATGGTTTTACTCAAGTAGTATTTCCAACAGACTAGAGAAGCATCCATAGACGACCAGGTTCCAGACAGCATCTGAACACTTTGGCTGCAGTCTGCTCCTTTTTAGAAAAGGCTAATCCCCTGGCTGCATCCTAAATCTGACCACCACACTTTATCTTTATAGAAATTCAAATATTGGACCATGGAGGTTGTGATGATATGTCACTTATATTTAGCCAGCATGGCAGAGGCTACAGCTAAACTATTTAGAGGATTTTCTTTTAAAAATTAGGGAATATATTTGACATTGCAGTTCAAAATAAGCTAGCACCTGTGCTCTGAATCAAGCAGTAAATATTTTAAGGTCTTTTCACTGAACACAGGACCAGCTTTGGGCTTAGCGTAGCATCTAATTTAGCATGTTGGATGGAATGACTGGTTTGGGGGCTTTCTGAGAATTTTTTGTTATGCATCATTTAAATTTCCCTGGGTGATAGTGTGATATTGTGGCTGGTTGATATCCAAGTTTGATGATGAATTTTCTATCACAGTCCTTTGAATAAAAAATGAGTTCCTCCATTCTCCACACATGATTAATGCCCTTGCTAAATCTTTGCCATGCTCACACCTCACTGCCAGAAACTGGTTAAATACCAATCTCTCTTGAAGTGTTGGAAATGCCTGGGTTCCATAAGCAATCCCCATTTAGCCTTTGCAAATAGACATTTGGAATAAGAGGTTCAACCATGAGCAAATCATGTAACTCCCACAGCACCATTACTGTCAGGAAACTTTGAATGAAAATATTCTTCATTTCACTGCAAGTCACTTAAGACAAATTAGCCAGAAAAAAGCATAATGAATTGCTTTGCAAAAATGCTCTTTTAATAGGGTCCCTGAAACAAAGCAGATCTCAGCCTAAACTTGATAATGCAGACAGAATTGCAATAAACTCCCTGTAAGAGAACATATCAAGGTGGGCATTGCAGGCTGGGCAAGAACAAGAGCAAAAAGTTGCTGTCACAATGGTAAGAGGGCATTAAAATATGCCTCTTCCCCCAAAGTTGGGGTGTGGGGTGGGGGGAGGGGAGAACAAACACATGTTTACTGCAGCAAGGAAGTGACATCTCTATCTAAAAAGGATTCTCTGAGGGGGAAGGATTCCAATGTAATGAAGGTAAAGACTTCACCCTTTGCGTGCTTGGTGGCCTTTGGAAGTAGGATTTTAAGGCAGTGGAAGAGGTTGGCTTCACTGGCATGACTTCCATATTCCATAGAAGACACAAAAGACAGGACTCAGTTTGTTTTGGGGCCAATGCTGGCACCATTTTTCTCCAGGTCTCCTTAACTGTCTCCTTTCCCAGGATGCAACAGGCACAGCCTGAAGTCCATCCCTAGCCTGTGGCCTCGTATCCAAGACAGTGGCAGAAGTGGGACCAATGACCCCCTCCCAGCAGTCCTCACCTAGGACTGAAACCTCAAGGCACCTGGAGGTTTCAAACTGGAGAAGTAAAAAAAGTTCCAGTGAAGTTGTATAATAGAGTCTTCATTCCTGGCTACTCTCTTCAGACTCACATACCCAAGTGATTACTAAACACCCTCACCAGGATGCCCCATGGGCAGCCCTAGCTCGACACCAGCAGACCGGATTTATCATCTTTCTCCCAAAGCAGTTTGTCTTCTCAACTCCTAATGCTGGTTCATAGCACCACCATTCACCCCAGCCCTTCTGATTTCCTGCCTCACTGGAAGCCATGAAGTTCGGGAACAGTCCAACATCTTAACAAATTCAGAAAAAAATTTTCTGCACGGATGCTGATCAGGCAGTAAGATGGAAATGTTACTACCATCGTGCATCTGAATCTACAGGGATTCTGGGCAGATTGCAAAAGTGGGGCAACTCATTTGGACCTAGTGTCAGTGGTAACAGACACAGTCCAGGCCCAGCCACAAGACTCCCATCTTTTCTTGTGGAACAACATAAATGGGAAAAAGGTTTACTTTTCCCTTTCATTCCAATGTCAGTATTATACACAGTCACTCTACAGGGAGCTCCCTAAATAAACCGGGGATGTGATTCCTTTCACTGTCATCCTCTCAGCACCCAAATGAATAAGAAAATGGACTTGTTAGGGGAAGAGGAGGTTCTTTTGTTACCTTCCGACATAGTCTGACTTCCTGCAGCTGCCGCGGGGCAGCCAGCTGAAGAGTCCCTTCCTTACATCACAGGTGAACCATTTGAGGGAGTTAATATGACAGAACCAATGGCAAATGTGCAGCCCTTTCAGGGATGAAGGAAAAGACCAGTTGTGACTCTGATGCATCTTCTCTTGCCATACCCCTTCCGCCACGTAATTACCTACAACCGAGCTACCTGACTAAAAACAAGACTTTCAAGATCTCCTCCACTGTTTCTTAAAGAATTTTTAAGACACCAAGTTCTAGTTACAACTGAGAGAGAGATGTGGGAGGAGAAGAAGGGTAGGGGCACGGGAGCGGGAGAGAAGATTGAGAGAGAGAAAGGGACCCAAGTCAGGTAGAAGTAGTTCAGGAACGCATGCACTGCTTTGAGTAGGTCAAGGGGATGTCAAATGCAGGAAACTAACCAAAGGATGTAAAGTGAATTATAGGCATTCATTTTTTCCCCTATGTTAGAAATCCTTTTATCTCTAGTCCCCCTGGAGCAACTGACAACCTTATAGCAATGTCTTAGAGGCAAGAGCTAAGACTGCTATTTCTTGGCCCAGCCTAACAGTTCTGCATTTCTGTTCATACATTTCTGTTCATATCTTGGCAGATTTTTCTTTAACAAAACCATTACCAAATCCTTGAACTTGGCTTGAGGCTTTGCAGGTAAAACTTCTCTTCTCATTGGAAAGCCAAGGCAAGTAAAGGTAAAAGTTTCAGTATTTCTTAAGTAGTTTAATAGTTCAGGTTCTAAGAGAAAAATGTTAACTCTGGTGTGTTGTATGCATTTTGGTAGTACAGTCATGTAGAAAGTATTTGGTTTGGCTAAACTAAATCTTTATAAGGACTATATTAATCCTGGACTGACTTTCAGCCCGGAGTCGTGGCAGTTTCTGCTCAAGGCTTGCCTGGATATTTTCACAGACATGGCTGGCTGGTCACACTCAGTTAACTGGCGTCTCACCACGCCTGCATCACATAAACCTGTTTCGCATGATTATAAATGACTGAAGTAATCCTGGATTCTAATTCGGTGTGAGGATTGAACTTCTTTACCATTTTATGCTAACAAACATCAATGTCTCTATTCCTTGCCTCATGAAAGGCTCAGCTGTGGACCATCTGTGTGGCTATAGTCCGAGGTCACAGGTTAGCTTCGTCATAATTCCTCCCTTACAGGCTAGTTTCTCCCCCTGACTCCAGACTCCTCCTGGGAAGGGAACGTTCCTACTGCATCTGTGTCATCTGTACCTGTCCCCATTCCTGACAAGCAGCCCCCCGGTTAATCACGGCCAAGTAAATGAATGCTAGGTTTGCTTTTCAGTTACAGTAACTGTCTTCGTTTTCTTGACATAGAAAGTTCAGCTTTCATGCACGTCGGCACACCTTGAAGCTTTCTTGAACTACTGCCTCAGGCACTTGCAGCCAAATCGTAATAATTTCAGTGGTTCTTACAGGAGACCAAATGAGGTTTTAGTAATGGTGTGTCCTACAGAAACTGTTAGAGACAGGTATGTTATTGTTATGGGAAATAAATGCTAAAGGATCAAGAGAAAGAGGAAGGAGGCTGAGTCTGAAATCAGAAAAGCAAAATCAGAATCAGGGTCTTTGCTTCCACCTGCTATATACATCATAACTGGCTGCTCTGACAAGAGGACACTGGAGCCATAATGGCCCTGCTGGTGCAAAGGACAGGCTGATTTTCAACTGGATAGTGACCTTTAATATTATATTTTCACAGCTAACACCATTTCACAATTCACCTCTGTTATTTAATAACTATATTATTTAATAACCATTATAGTAAAAATCTTTTCCAAGGGGTTACACTGAGTGTTTCGGTCAGCTTCCCCAAGTCCTCCATGAGACTGGTGATTGAATTAGGTGGGATCCAAGTGTCTGATGCAGCACCTGACTCTTGTTATAAACTGCTGTGCACGACTGCCCCAGCAAGGCACAGGGGCCCATCAAATCAGCAGGCTTTTCTAGAAAGAACTAACCTCATTGGAAATTGAAATACAGGTTTGAGGGCAATGAAATTTTATTTGCTTCAGTAAATTTATATATTGAAATCTGAGACTCTATCCTATGTTCTAGACAGTAATCACTTAAAAAGGAATGTTCCAACATCTTTAAAGGAACTTCATCCAAATAGTGAAGGAGCCCTTGTGCATTTACAGAAAGGTCCTTAATCAAGGTTGTACCTGAGCACATATATGCTTGGAAGGGTCATCAAGGTGAGGGGAACGGGAGGAAAATAGGAAGTTACAGGCTGCAGAGTCCTGAGATGTAGGTGGTGGACCTTATTCTGTTTTTCTTATTTGTGTATTTACCCTTTAGAAATATTTAGTCACAGGTTAAAAAAGTTCAGTCTTCAACTTGGTGCCTTGACTGCTCATCCAAATCAGGGGGCCGCTCTGATGGAGATTCAGGGGGAGATCTTTATTCAGGGGCTTCCCTTTCTCATTCTTACTTTAAAAATCCTCTAAATTAAAACATGGAAATATATGTGAAACTGAAAGGTGACGCAGTAGCCCAGTTGTGGAAGTCAGCTCTAAATCATAATGTGGTATTTTTCTCACCAAAACTTTGCTTTTTCCTTGTGAAATATAACCAACACTAATCTCATACAGGGAATTTTATCAGATTGCCCTTTTTCTAAATCTCACTCTCCTACGGCATCTAACTGGTGATGATGTTCCCTTTTTCAGGCACCCCTTCCCCTGCTCTGTTTATGTTTCCCGGGGGATCATCTCCTACCCTAAAGTATTCTAAAGCATGTGGAGCAGTTCTCTTTCTGTGC